GACCAGGAATTGAACGAGCAACCTTTCAGTGTACTGGACAACGCCCAACCAAATGAGCTACACTGGCCAGGCGTCAGTTTTAATTTTTTTTTTTTTTTTTAATTCTCACCCAAGGATATTTTTTCCATTGCTTTTCAGAGAGATTGGAAGAGAGAATCGATGTGAGACACACATTGATTGGTTGCCTCCCACACTAGCCCTTGACCAGGGCTGGGGATCAGGCCTGCAAACAACGTACATGCCCTTGACTGGAATCGAACTTGAGACCCTTTAGTCCTCGGCCGATGCTCTAATCACTGAGTTAAACTGGCTAGGACCAGTTTTAATTTTTAAAATGGGAAATATGATAGATAAAATTTACATAAACAAAAGCGCTTTGGAGTCGTTAATAATCATTGAGAATAAAGGAGTCCTGAGACTTAAAAGGTTGAGAGCACCTGTTTTACTGCCAGCTGCCCCCCTGAGCGTCTGCTGTTGTAGATAGGATCAAACTTACCTCCCGATATTGTGATGATAAATCAAGGCCACACATGAGCATGACAAGTACCTTGAATAAGTTGTAACAAAGTTCTGTGGGGATTTAAATGATAGGTGAGGACTTTTCTAGCTGGTATGATAATGGGGAAGCAGAATTTCCCACAGACTGAAGGGTCTTGGGTTTGAGTCTTGTCAAGGGCATGTACCTCGATCCCAGGCCCCAGTCAGGGGCGTGTGGGAGACAACCAATTGATGTGTCTTCCTCACATCGATGTTCTCTCTCTCTCTCCCACTTCCACACTCTCTGAAAAGCAATGGGAAAAATATCCTCGGGCGAGGGTTAAAATAATATTAATAATAGGGTTTTATGAGCAGAAGAGTTCTTGCCAAGTGGATAAAACCTTAACAAGAGTGCTCGCTTCGGCAGCACATATACTAAAATTGGGACAATACAGAGAAGATTAGCATGGCCCCTGTGCAAGGATGACACGCAAATTCATGAAGGGTTCCATATTTTTATGCACCCCTATGTTCATAGCAGCACAATTTACAATAGCTAAGATCTGGAAACAGCCCAAGGGCCCATCAGTAGATGAGTGGATAAAAAAGCTGTGGGACATTTACACCATGGAATACTATGCAGCTGTAAAGAAGAAGGATCTCATACTCTTTGGGACAGTATGGAAGGACCTAGAGAATATTATGATAAATGAAGTAAACCAGGCAGAGAAAGACAAACATCACATGAGCTCACTTATGTGTGGAATCTAAAGAACTCAATAAACTGATGAACAGAAATGATTCAGTGACACAGAAGCATGGATCAGGCTGATGAATCTCAGAGGGAGGGAGAAGGGCAGGTGGGTGGAGGGGGAGAGATTAACCAAAGAAGTTATATGCATATGTGCACAACCTAAGGACAAGGACAATGGTGTGGAGAGGGGCTGGGGAGGGGGGTGGGACGGGGTGGAATGGGTCATTGGGGAGAAAAAGGGACATCTAATATTTTGAACAACAACAACAAAAGAACCTTAACAAGAACAGTAAAGCATGAAAGGATGAGTTAACCCATAGGGGCAGGGGGAAAATGCCCATTGGCCATTGGCTGGTCTCACGGGTAGCAGGACATTGGTGAGGTCTTCTGGTTCAGGGCTTGGCCCCAGCTTTGTGGGCCCAGAGCCTCTATTTGTTAGCACCTATGTCTCCAATTCCCTGCACTACTCACCAGAGACCAGTATTTATATTGTATTGCCAATGTACGTAAAGGATAGCAGTTTCCAGTGGCAGGGATAGTCATCTGATGTATTGGGCATATCCTTCCCAGAGTCAGGGATAATCAAACCAGTAAACATGATGTTGTTTAGAGGGATGTATTGGACCCAGGGCATCAGAGGGTCTCAGGACAGTAGGTTCTGGAGCCAGTCGACCTGTCATGCCAGGGTTCTTCATCTGACAAGATTTGTGACTTTGCACAAGTTATCTGATCTCTCCACACCTTACTTAGTTTCTGTATTTGTAACATGGAGATGATAACAGTACTTACCTCAGGAGTTTGCTGTGATAATTAAATGACTTATTACTTGCAATGTGCTTAGAAGTCATATCTGGTACCTAATGAAGTTTCAAAGCTCTTGTTTTATGGAGAGAGTTTGCAACCCGCCTTGTTCCTGCCCAGTGTAGCCAGTGACCTAGCTCATATCCCCAATCCAGTCTCTTCCAAATAGGTTGAGGGCTGGATGAAAACCAGAATACCTGTGAAATGATTAGTTTTATGTATGTCAACTTGGCTATTTAATCAAACACTAATGCAGTGAAGATGTTCTATAGATGTGGTTAACATCTACAATCAGTTGACTTTGAGTACACTTGATAATCTGGGTGGGTCTCATCCAATTAGGTGAAGGCTTAAGAGCAAAACTTGTGGTTTCCCAGAGAGGAAATACAGCATCACTTGTGAGTTTCTAGCCTGCAGCCTGCCCTACAAATTTTTGACTTGCCAGCTCCACAACCATGAGCCAATTCCTTAAAATAAATCTCATTCATTATGTGTGTGTGTGTGTGTGTAATAGATTCTTTTTCTCTGGAGAAGCCTGATCTTGCTCTTTTTTTTTTAAAGTTTCCTTTGACTTCTTTCAAAAAATTTTTTTAAAAAATTTATCTTTATTGATTTCAGAGAGAGGAAAGGAGAGGGAGAGAGAGAGAGAGAGAAACATCAATGATGAGAGAGTCATTGATCGGCTGTCTCTTGCACACTCCCAACTGGAGACGGAGCCCGCAACCCAGGCATGTGCCCCGATCGGGAATCAAACCCCAGTCACCTGAATCCTAGGTCGATGCTTGACCGCTGAGCCACGCCTGGCCTGATCTTGCTCTTTAGGTAACTCTTTTCTAAACTTTGGGCTGATCATTGACTTTTAGTTACATGTTCTTTTTTCAGCCAGGCTTAGTACATGTAAATCTCTCTAAATTTCAGTTGTATTTTTCTGAGACCTTACTTAGCCACTTTGGCTAGACTTCAGCCACTCGAATATAAAGCATCTTTTAGGGTAAATTATTTCTACAGATTATCTTTTCCATCATGAGTTGACTCCTATATTTTCACTATCTCAAGGTAGAGGAAGTCCTGTTAGTTCCTTTAACAAAACCTAGCTCAGGTCCTTCAAGATGGGTAATGTGAAGACTCTTCATGGGGTGAGGGATCCCACAGGGAGGCTGGGCCACAGAGATTTCCATCCTTTAGGAAGCATCAGGCTGGTCTCTGGGGAGTAGTGGGTTTCCTATTTGTGGTGGCTGAGGAAGAATGCAGAGTTACTCCTCAGGAGATCACTGATATTCACCCTTCATTGAGAACCTTGAAGAGAGAGATTTTGTTCTTCCGAGAGCTCGTTTCCTTTGGGAGAGTGATCCTATTCCAAGTTCTGGAGGTGATTTACTTTGCCTCTTATTATGGAAGAAGAATCAACAAGACTTGATTCTTGATAAGATATGGTAAAAGACTAGTGAAGAGAGATATGACTGTGAAAGAATGAAGGAAAGGCAGTAAATGTAAATCTTTTCTGGAAAGTGTGATGGGGATAGGGCAGCTGAGGTCCAAGATGCCAACCCTCAGTAATTACTGTCACACTGCTTGCCCTCCAAGTCTTCCCTTCCATCTATTCTACAAGAGACAACAGCACATGTAAAGGGCACCTCTTGCAAACCTTCTATCTCCAGTCAGTGAAGAATGAGAGGACTCAAACTGCTGCAGTGCTCCCTTCAGGTGGCACTGAACAAACTTTGTGTCCCTTTCCCCTCACCATGGAACTGTTGTGAAAGATTTTTTTTTTACCAAAGTACATTTATAAGCTTAGTAATTCTTTTTTTTTTTTTCATGAAATAACTAGAATTAACATACTGATCCTTATGATTTGAAATACCCAAACCTAGTATGATTCAAGATGAACACCTAGCCCGGCCGGGCGTGGCTCAGCGGTTGAGCGTTGACCTAGGATCCTAGGTGATTGGGGTTCGATTCCTGGTCAGGGCACATGCCTGGGTTGTGGGCTCGATTAATGACTCTCTCATCATTGATGTTTCTGTCTCTCTCTCTCTCCCTCTCCTTTCCTCTACCTGAAATCAATAAAGATATATTTAAAAAAAAAAAAAAAAGATGAACACCTAATTAAATGAGGATATGATGAATGCCAAAATAAATATCAGGAAGAACTATTTTGAGATTTATTTTTTTTTTTAGAAAGAGAAACATCGATTTGTTGTTTTACTTATTTATGCATTCATTGGTTGTTTCTTGTATGTGTCCTGACTGGGGATACAACCCACAATCTTGATGTATTGGAACAACGCTATAACAAACTGAGCTACCCAGCCAGGACCAGACTTTGAGATTTTTGATATTCATTTCCAGATGCTACTAACTACAAATGGAAAATGTATTTTCATATATTAGGGAGATATACCGAACCACCAAACTCAGCATAATTAATAGTGACACATTCTGGCTTGATATGGCTCCAGGGTGATGTAATGTGAAGTACATAATGTCATCTATTAAGTATTCTTTGCAAAAGATGTTTACCCTGAATCTAATATAGCCTATAGATCTAGTTCCATTTTAAAGGAAAAACAGGCTATAGCACTGTCTTAACAGAACTTTAGGCAATGATATAAATATTACATATCTGCACTGTCTAATACAGTAACCATCAACCTACTGAAAGGTTAAGTTTATTTCATTTTAACTACAGTTTGAATTTATTTATTTATTTAAATATATCTTTATTGATTTCATAGAGAGGAAAGGAGAGGGATAGAGAGATAAAAACATCAATGATGAGAGAGTCATTGATCGGCTGCCTCCTGCACACCCTCTGCTGGAGATCGAGACCATAACCCAGGTACATGCCCAGACTGGGAATCGAACCCAGATCGCCTGGATCCTAGGTCGACGCTCAACTTCTGAGCCATGCTGGTTGGGCTTTGATACTCTTTTTCTATCTTTCCCCAAAGGAAAATAACTAAAACCCTAAGACTCAATGTTACTTTATTCAGGAGATAATCAAGTATAATATACACTGAAAAATAACTGTACATAAAATTATATAAGTCGGCTACATTTTCCAGAAGAGATTCAGTCATAGTAAACAAGGAAGGGAAACCAGAAAGGTGCCTAAATGACTGCAGTGTTTGGAGCAATTGTTCCTACGCTCCTCTGAGTGAAGATAGCCCCAGGTGGAGGTGATCCTTTTAGCACCAATTAAAAGGAAGAGGAGGAAGCAGCGCCAATGCACAAGCCATGCCTCTTGGCCTGCCAACGTTCAGTGGTAGGCCTTGTTGAACTCCTGGAGTGCCCAGCGCTTGTTCTCAGTTGCCTGCTTGAGTTGGGTGTACTCTTTTACCAGCCTGTCAAACTCCTCCCCAAGGACCTCATAGGTGTTTAGGACCTGTTGGGACTTCTCCATGTCCTGTTCTTGTAGCCGAATGGCCCCCTCCAAACGGTCCCTAGGAGGCCGGGCACAGAAGATACAATATAAGAATCTGGCTCCTCGGAAAGTAAACAAGAATAGGAACATGTTAAGAGGAATGAGTCTAGAGAGTGTGGGAACCAGCTCTGAAAGCTGTACCAAGCTCTTAGGAGTTCTCACCTAATGAGACGATGAACTTCCACTTTCTCAGCAGTGTAAGTGTCGGACAAAATCTTTAGCTCTTCCATCCTGACAAAGAAAGAAATGTGAAGCCAAGGATCCCTGACAGGAGCTGAGTTAGGAATGGGACACAGTACCTGCCCATGGTCAAAGGTGTGGGCTAAGCAGTGACAGGAAAAAACAAGGTTACTCTGAATTCCTGAGCAATTTATCTCATAGTCAAGCACCTATTTCAGAAAGCTTTCAAATAAAAGAATCAAGAACGTTGAAAGTTTTGGGGTAATCTGAAGGCTAATACCGCTGGAAGGAATTTACTGGATCCCACAAGGTGCAAGGCATGTTAGAAAGGAAAGAAATGAGGGCAAGGGTTGCAGGGCTGGTATGTCCCTTAGATCCATAGGGGTCACAGCTCACCTCAGCTTAAGGATCATGGCACTGCACTTGATCTCCAGGTACTGGGCATTGATGCAGTCTAGCTCAGACTGAGTCTGCAGCCGGTGCTCCTGAAGAAGTCTGTGCAGTAAGGCGAGGCAGCGGAGAAGCACCTGGGCCCCCACAAGGCAGGAGGAAGAGGTTGTAAAGAAGAGATAGTAGAAAAGAAGGCAGATCAGAAATCCTGGCTTCCCCAAAAGTGCCCCTAGGGTCTGGGTAAAAGAAAGAAGGCTACCCCACTGCTCTGACAAACCTGGGAGTAGGTGGCACTCTTCTTCTCCAGCAGCACCATCTGTTCCTTCTGCTGGCTCTTGGCATCCTGGCACTGCTGCTTCTCACTCACCAGGATCTCCGCCAGTTTCCATACCTTTGCTGCCTTCAGGGTTTCATGGTCTGAATCTGGGCAAAAAGAGGACTGGACAGTAAAACCCTATAATTGCTATGACCCTCTTAAGGCCATTTTTCAGTGCCCCTATTTTCCATCTAGCCCTAGAGAAATTTCTGTATCCTTCCAGGTTTTCTTCTGATGTCCTGTTAAAAATGGCCCAGTTCTCATAATTATGTTGTCTTCACTCTTACCTTTAATTCTAGGTTTGGCCCTTAATTCTTTTTTTTTTTTAAATGTCTTTTTTTAAAATTTATTTTATTTCAGAGAGAGGAAGGGAGAGGGAGAGAGATATAAACATCAATGATGACAGAGTCACTGATTGGCTGCCTCCTGCACATCCTCTACTGGGGGTCAAGCCCTCAACCTGGGCATGTGCCCTGACCGGGAATCGAACGTGATCTCTTGGATCATAGGTCAATGCTCAACCGCTGAGCCACACCAGCCAGGTTAGCTCTTAATTCTTAAATTATAGAAGTAAAGACAAGGGGAACACCTATAGCCTGAACTTTCCCCCCTATTCTATTCTGATTCTCCTGAGAATGAACTCATCGTTCCCTGCTGCAAGAGGACCTCCAGCTTAACCCCTTGCTGGATAAAAGGAGTTCTCACAAAATTCCTTGCTTTTATTCTACCAGCAAGGAAACAAACATCTGCAATGTCTCCAATGCTTCCCAGTTTCCGTCCCAAATCTAAAATTAAAATAAATTATTCTCAAAAGAGCAACCCAGGAGTCCTGAGGGCCAGCTGTGAACAGAACACAGAGAGCCAGCACTCACCGCAATTGGGATCATGATAGCTAAGTAGAGTGAAACATTTCTTCTTGAGCTGCTCCTCCACTTCGAGTGGGAGCCGAGCTCTCATCCACACAAAATCCTACAGCCAAAGAAACAAAGAGAGATACAAATAGACTGTGAGAACTAGGAAGATCCAGCCAATGAATACACGATGACAACAATCTCAATGATAACCAAAGGAAATGCATTAAGAGACATCAGGGAGCCCTAGCCAGTGTGGTTCAGTTGGTTGGAGCATCCTCCCATATATAGAAAGGGGACGGGTTCCATTCCCAGTCAATGCCCATACTCAGAAGTTGAGGGGGTTCAATCCCCAGGCGGGCGCAACCAATTGCTGTTTCTTTCTCTCTCTCTCTCTCCCCTTTCCTCTAAATATAAATTTTAAAAAAACTAAAACTTAAAAATTATTTATTTTTTTTTTAAAAAAAGAGAGGCCTGGCTGGTATGGCTCAGTTGGTTGGGCATCATCCCGTGCACCAAGGGGTTGCTAGTTAGATTCAGGGTGGGGGCATATGCCCCAGATTGTAGGCTTAATCCCTGGTAGGAGGCGTGCAGGAGGCAGCTGACTGATGTTTCACTCTTGCATCAGTGTTTCTCTCTCTCCCTCTCCCTTCCTCTCTCTCTAAAAATCAATAAAAATAAAGATGAAATAAAATAGAGAGAGCCCTGGCTGGTGTGGCTCAGTTGGTTGGGTGTCATCCTGTGCACTGGGAGCTTGCCCATTCAACTCCCATTTGGGGCACATGCCCAGGTTTCAGGCTCAACCCCTGGTGGGGGGCATGGTGTGCAGGAGGCAGTTGATCAATGTTTCACTCTCTCTTCCTCTCCCTCTCTAAAAAAAAAAAATCAAAAAAAAAATTTTTTTAAAGACATCAGGCACAATCATTAAAAAAAGAATGTTTTTAATGCTTTTAATAGGGATGTGCATAGAAAGAAAACTATCAGGGTAAATCACCAGAGCACTGTTTATAATAGCAAATGCCTGAAAGGGAGTCATTTTTAGCCTATCAAATTAGCCAAGAACAATATGACTGTCCAGATCCCATACTGATGAAAACTTGGGGAGCTAGTAAGAAAACACCTTTTTGGAAAACATTTTGTAAATATGTACCAATATGTTTTATGTGTGACTCCTTTGACCCAATGATCCCACTTAGAGCACTAATACTTGGGAAATAATCATACAAGGGCAAAGACACATATGAACTAGCATGTTCATCAATGTGCTTTCTAACAGCAAAAATGTGGAAAGAACTTTAAATTATTATTCATCAGTAAGGTTAAACAAATTATGCTACATCCATACAATGGAATCCTGTCAGTTATTTAAACCAATGACATAATAAGAATACCAAGTACTAACTATGTGCCTGTATACTGTGCTAAGAGTGCTTTAGAAGGTATCATCTTATTTATATCTATTTATTGACTTAAAAAGAAGTCCAAAATATATTAAGTGAAAACATATTATACTCTAGACAAGCATGGAGGGTATAATACTATTTATGTCAAGTTGTATTTATTTCTAGATGTAGTATTTCAGCTTTTACTTTCTTCTGTGTAATGTTTTTCTTATTTATTTAAGTTTGACCACCATGAACGTGTACATTTTTATAAAAACAATAAAGCTTTTATGTTGTATTAGAAGTTTCAATGGATCTTAATAGATTCCACAGTCTTTAAAGTGCTACTGTCATTTCAGAAAAGTTAGCAATTCAATACTATTTGAACAAAATATGTTATTTCAAATAATTTTAATTTTGTTGTCATAAAGAAAATTTAACGCTTCTTAAATTTTCTCCTACAAGTTAAAAAACAAACAATAAAGCTTAACAAAAAATGTTCAAATATATAGGAGAAATTAAGCCACTATTTGTCCATTCCCAACCTCTGAGGGCGGCATGAGCTCCAGAAGGTCTGCTTTCTCCAGTCCTAGCAGTGGAGGCATCTCTCTCTCCTGGCTAGGATCTAAGAGCTGTGTTAGTTGAGTTACAAGTAGCCGCTGCTCAAGGGTCTCATGAAACTGAGAGAGAGAATAAAAACAAGAGGTTACTATAAAACTTCTTTCACTCCACCTCATCCATCCTCATGAACGAGTTCTTCACACATTTTCAAAGTCCTCAAATATGGCATCCCCTTCAGATAACTTCTCAGCTATCAGTGCCTTCTCCTGTTAATCTTTCTTTTCAAAATCCTGATAACACACCCACCTCTTCCCCCATAACTACAGTCCATTTCTCTTTGATAACCATTACATGAAGCTCCTACTACCTCCAGGTCATATAATCAGATGAAACCAGGTGACCAACCTTTACCTCATCTCTCCTGCCTCACCTTTTTGTCCTCAGAAGTTAACTTTGTGTCTTGTATCTTCACATAGTAGTCCACAAGCAACTCCTGGATGACTCGCTGTAAAATCTCAGACCTCAGCCATGTTGTCTTATGCAGCTGAACTTCCTTCCTTGCCTAGAAAATAAAAAAAATCCCAGGTAGGAACCTCTCTCTCAGAAGATTTTTCCTTCCTCTTATCACCCCTTCACCTAGGGCTCTTACCTGAGCCTGCTCCTTTGCCAGGGAGAGGCTTAAGCCACTCTCATCCACGTGTTGTGAGAGACTCAGTAGCAGTTTGCTGAAGTGTGGGTTCTGTAACAGGTCCTCTTCACTCAGGTTACAAGGAAGAAGCTGTTTGCTGCACACTTAATGGGATGTCCCCCATTGGGACAAAAAACAAAGAAGGTATGGACTCTTAATTTATATAACTGAGCATTACTCTTAACTTAATACTAACTCTAATTCTAATAAAATTTAAAAATCTACCAAATAAACTAGAGGCAATACTCAAAATAACAAGCATTTATAACATATACAAAGACATTAATCAAGAATTAGGGAATGAGCCCTGGCCAGTTTGGCTCAGTGATTAGAGCGTTGGCCCGCAGACTGAAGGGTCCCAAGTTCGATTCTGACCAAGGGCACATACCTTGGTTGCAGGCTCGATCTCCAGCCCTGGTTAGGGCGTGTGTGGGAGGGCAACCAATTGATGTATCTCTCTCACATTGATGTTTCTCTCTCTCTCTCTCTCCCTTCCACTCTCTCTGAAAAGCATTGGAAAAAATATCCTCGGGTGAGGATTAAAAAAAAAAAAGAATTAGGGAATGAGCCTGGCTGGTGTGGCTCAGTGGACTAAGCGTCCTCCCATGCACCAAGTATGATCACCAGTCAGGGCACATAACCGCATTGCGGGCTCAATTCCCGGTAGGGAGTGTACAGGAGACAGCCGGTCATGTTTCTCTCTCCCCCCTTCCTTCCTCTCTCTCTAAAATCAATAAAAACATTTAAAAAAAAAAGATTTAGGGAGGGAGGAGACAACAAGATGGCGGCGTAGGTAACAGCGGTACCCGCTGCCTCTGACAACCACATCAAAATTACAACTAAAATACAGAACAACCATCATTCAGAACCGCCAACCTCCTGAAATCTAGCTGACAAGAAGTCCTACAATTAGGGAACTGAAGAAGCACACCGAGACTGAGACATGGGGTGAAATATGGGCTGAATCTTGGAGACGCTCAGCGGTCCCACACCCAGGTGCAGCGGTTTAAAACCAGGAGGGATATCTTGGTGGTGGAGGTTTTCCAGAGGAGCGAGGGGTCCCAGCCCCACATCAGGCCCCCAAGTCCAGGAAGACAAATCCCCACAAGTTCTCACTGTAAAAACCAGAGGGGATTGTGGCAAAGTAACGCAGAGGCTGCTGGAGTCCCAGGCAGCTCCTCATAAAAGGCAGGCACACAGACTTACTTGGATTCATTCCCTCTGAGCTCCAGTGCTGGGCAGCAGCTTAAAAGGAACCTGGGACATTCGGCAAAGAACTAGCTTGCCTGGTATCAGGGAAAGAGCTAGAGGGGCAGCTTTCTCCCAGACAGAGGAGCTGGGAGAGGCCATTGCTCCTTTGGCGAGCCCTCCCCTGCCCTGGTGATTCCCCCAGACCCTGCCCCTCCCTACTTGCAAGCTCATCCAAGCCATTTCCAGGGGCTTTTCTATGCAAGTGGCCTCTCTAACCTCATGCTTAGGACTTTCCTAAAATCTCTCAAACAAGCAGCAGCTGGCCTCAGCATACTCCATACCTCTCAGAAAGTAGCCCCAGGCCTGGCACTAGCAGCAGCCTGCATTGGTTCATAGCTTGGCCTCTCCAGGACACCTCCAAGCCCAGCACAAGTAGCAGCCATCTATGGATTGCTGTGTAGCTCATGCTGGGTGACCCTGGGCAAGACACAGGCAGAGGCTGACTTTGCACCTCCTGGGAGGCCCCAGAGACAATGCACCTGGTGGTCAGCTTCAACCACACTGGATTACAACCCTACCACATCCACAAGTGACACACTCAAGGGCTAGACTTGGTGAACACCAAAGCTCCACTGAAGAAAATCCTGCTCCACAGGGGTGTCTCTAGCACAGAAGCTCTTTGGCTGTATTTGCAGCTGGTCCTCACAGCTGATTGGCCTGGGGGTCAATTCCTCCCAGTGATGCCAACAGCAACCAAGGCTCAACTACAACAGGTCAGAGCACAGAGCCCACACAGGGGAGCACCTAGAAGGCCCAGTTCAGGTGTCTGGGGAGGCTGAGCCACTGGACCCTACAGGACACCTACTACACAAAAGCCACTCTACAAATTCCAGGAGACATAGCAGTTCTACCTAATACACAGAAACAAACACCTGGAAGCAGCCAAATGTGGAGGCAAAGAAACATGTCAAAAAGGAAAGAACAGAAGAAATCTCTAGAAGAGGAACTAAATGAACTAGAACCAAGCAAGCTACTAGATACAGAGTTCAGAATTATGGTTATAAGGATGCTCAAGCATATTAGTAAGGGTATTATGAAAACAACTGAGACCATCGATGACGTAATAAAGTACCAATTTGAAATGAAGGCTACACGAGCTGAAATGAAAAATAATTTACAGGGAATCAACAGTAGAGGACGCTGAGAATCAAATCAGCAATTTGGAATATGAGGAAACAAAAAACACCCAACTGGAAGAGCAAAAAGAATCCAGAAATATGAAGATATTATAAGGAGCCTCTGGGACAACTTCAAAGGGCCCAACATTCATATTATTAGGGTGCCAGAAGGGGAAGAAAGAGAGCAAGAAATTGAAAACCTATTTGAAAAATAATTACAGAAAACTTCCCCTACCTGGGGAAAGAAATAGACTTATAAGTCCAGGAAGCACAGAGGGTCCCAAACAAGAGGACCCCAAGAGGCCCACAACAAGACACATTATGCCAAAGGTTAAAGACAAAGAGAGAATCTTAAAAGCAGCAAGAGAAAAGCAATTAGTTACCTACAAGGGAGCACCCATACAACTGTCAACTGATTTCTCAACAGAAACTTTGTAGGCCAGAAGGGAGTGGCAAGAAATGGAAATGCAGTTGGAATGTATGAGACAATTAGAAATCAATAAGGGACCCTTTAGTAAGGATCACCCCAGTACCCAAAATGTTTCATTCACACAGAATAAATAGAGTTCTTGAAGAAGGGAAGAAAAAAAGATGCATGTAAAGTTCCAACTTTGGATGTGATCTCTAGTCGCATAAGCGACTGAAAGTATACTTTTCTTAAGAGTAAGTTAAAAAATTTAACTAACCAAATTCTCCCTATTGTAAATAGAGTTGAGTAACCCATGTGGATGCAGAACAGCACAGGCATGAGAAAAAGTGCAAGAAACCGGGAACCTGTCGTAATGCCATATGTTCAGGGGGCTTTCTTTCCATGTGCTCTCTTCTGATGTGCTTTCTGCTGGGGTCTTCTGTTTTACTCCCCCTTACCAAACACTCAAATTTTCATTCTTTGGACCATCATACTCAAAGTTCTTTTAGAGAATAAGAATCTCTTTTTTCCCCCTCAAAGTAGACGGGTCAACATGCAAATGGTCAAAATATAAAAGATTCATGTCTTTGAAGGATTCAAGATATAGAAAGGACTTGAGATATGGAAAGTATTCAAAATATTAAAAGGATTTTGGAGACAAGATATAAAAAAATCCAAGACATAGGTAGGAAGGAAGCCTTTAAAGGAGTTTACTGGCCACCCTTATCTTCTGAATATGCTTGTTCACACAGCACGAGAGCATCTTGAGTTTTTCGTCTACTGCACAAGCAGATACTGAACAGGAATCAGTGTAATGTTTTCCATTAAGACAGTGTTGAAGAATCTTCATGTATCCTAATTTCCCCAGAAATATAAACTGTGAGAGAAATCATACTGGTGAACATTTTAAGTTCTTTTTATTACAGAAGGTAAGAACCCAGATAAAACCTCTCTGGATAAGTCATTGAACCTCTTGCAAATGGCTATCCTTACCTTGTTGGAGTCGTTCCATCCCTTCTCCAGGTGAGCAGAAATCCCCAGATGCCATCTGATATTCTTATCTTTGGAATAGAGCGAAAGAAAAAGATGAATTGGCTGGCTGCTCCAGAGAAAACTATCTTGGGTTCAAATTTCTGTTGTCCACAAGCTAGGGGGATGCCTCTTCACAGGGAGGGGCTATATCACACATCCAAGGTCCCAAGCTCTTATACAAGTTTTATAGACAAACAGACTTATCAGTAGCAAGACATTTTGCATTCTAACCATATAAATGTTTCCACTTGTTATAAGCTGTCTAAAAGGGAGCCTCCTTAGGAAAGAAAACTTTCCAATTCACTTGTTTAAGCAGGAGGATGGCCCTCTCTCCCCACCATTATTTCTAAGTTAAAACTGAGCTGCTGCTTCCCAGTTATAGGTGAACTGGGGAAAAGAAAAAATAGAATTCAAAGTCTACTCCTCCCCCCAAATCACTCAGCTTATTAAATTCCACAATAGTTTCTTGTACTTCTTCAACTTGTCCTTTCATCTAAGATGTGTTAGTAGTTTTTTATTGTTAACACCAAAAACACCCTTCAGGAATGACAAATCACTCAACACCTGAACAACAACTGGTTTTCACATAACAGCATTAGTAAAGAGCACCTGGAGGAAACAGCAAACGCAGACAGACAGGGAGGTCAGTGCCAAAAGAGTAATGCAAAGGTGTAGTTAATGCAGCTGAGGCCGGAACATAGAGTACAATGAAAAGAACAACACAAAGCAACAGTGAAGATGAGCACAGTTTGGGCTCTGGAGACAAAAATTTTCCCTTGAAATTATTTTCTATTTCACTATTCATCCTCTCCTCTAAGGTATCAAACTCCAAAGGACAGCTGTGCCTCCCAAAGCAGAACAGACATATAAGGTTATTATGATTTAACATTTCATGTTCACAGAGCATTTGGTTTACTCCCTCGTTTGATGAGTAGTAGCATCAAAGTAACTACTCATTTGTTTTGTAACATGGTCTAGAGGGGGAGGCAGCTGAGGAGTCAGAATGCTAGGACTTAATTTGCAGCTCAGCCATTGTTCTGCATAAATTTAAGGGAGATGGTTTTTTGTGCCAAACTTCTTTCCACCTGCAAAACTAAGATAACGATTCCTGCCTTGGAGAGGCATTAATAATTAATAACACAATCTACTTGTCAACAAAAGCCACTACTTAGGTAAGCTCAGTGTTTTCGCAATTGTTTATCTTTAATCTAAGTCAGCAAATGCAAGTTTTGCAGACAAGTTTCACTCACGAAAATGAGGACCACCCTAAATTTCAAAAAAGTCAGCTGTTATTGCCTCCCCAGGGGAAATGCCTACTTGGGGTTTTTTTAGGGTGCTTTTCTTTACCCTTTTTAAATGTTAGAGGGCGTGAACGGTGGTGGCAATCAGGCTCGATTCTCCACCCTCTGCACTCAGACGTGTTAAAACGCTGCTACAGGGACCCAAGCATTTAAATGTTCTGACTCAGGCGTCTTTTAAATTCTTAGAGCTGTCTTTACACGCTGCAATGAACGTTAAATTGATTTTACAGATATTTTCACAAGATGTGACCCTTACAGGGCCCGAGATGAATCAAAATGCGGAGCGGGTTCTCCAGCGCCTACTTCCCTTCCACATGGACAGCCAAGGATTCCCAAGGGCGAGGGCAGCCTCACACCCGGGACTGGCCGCATTGACCCTCCCGGAGCTGCTCTCCCCCGCAGAGCCGCCCGCCGACCCTCTAAAGCAAACCTGAGCACTACGCGGGGGCTGCGCACCCAAGACCCCGCCTGCGTCCGGGTTCCGGAACTTCTCTCAAGGCCGGGCGCAGGGGCGGGGCGACATTAGGCCCCGGAGGACCGCCTGGAAAGGTCGGAGCGGAAAGAGCCGAAAGCGCCAGAGAGGCCGCGCGAGGGCGAGGAGGGGGCGGGGCGACGCTAAAGGCGGGAACGGCAGGCCCCGCCCCTCGTCGGGCTCACCTCAGGCACCAACGGCCGCAGAACCCAGCTTTGCAGTCCGTGGTGGGAAAAAGAGCCCTTTTTCCGGGGTACCCACCCCACACTGAGGGCAAACGTTGATAAAATGGTAATGATTGCCAAATTTTATTGAGGGCCTTTAATGAGTCAGGCACTGTGAAGAGCGTTTTACTTGCCTTGCTTCTCCTCATTTAGTTCTTACAGCGTCCTATGAGGAAGACACTATCATACCCATTTTACTGAAGGGAAAACTAAGGCGCAAAGAGGTTAAGTGACTTGTTCAGGGTCACGCTGGCAGTGGAAACCTGACGCAGTGGCTCCTATGAACCCTCCCAGGCCTGTCCTTTCTGCCTCCCCCCGGAGAGTCTTCTCAGGTGCTGCCCACCAGCCCTGGCCCCTGGGTGGCTTGTTTGTTTTTTTAAATTATGTTTTTATTGATTTTTTTTGAAACTATGTCTTTATTGATTTCAGAGAGAGGAAGGGAGAGGGAGAGAGAGAGAAACATCAGCGATGAGAGAGTCACTGATGGCTGCCTCCTGCACGCCCCCTGCTGGGCATCGAGCCTGCAACCCGGGCATGTGCCCTGATGAACCCTGATCTCCTGGATCATAGGTCAGTGCTCAGCCGCTGCGCCGTGCTGGTCGCGATATTGATTTTTTTTGAGAGAGAGGGAGAGGGAGGGGGAGAGAGAGAAACACATCCATGTATGAGAGAACCTCCTGCACATGCCCTGACGGGACAGAACCCGAAGCTTGGGTATTTGCCCTAACCCTAACCAGGAATCCAATGGTCAACCTTTCGGTGCACAGGAGGATGCTCAACCAACTGAGTCATGCTGGCCAGGGCTGGTTTGTTTTTTAATAAAAATAAAACTGACTTTAGAGAGAGGACGGGAGAGGGAAAAAGAGAAACATGGATAGGTTGCCTCCCCTATGCGCCCCAACCTGGGGAACTAACTAGCAACCCAGGCATGTGCCCTGACCAGCAACCTCTGGGTGTACAGGATGACTGACACCCAACCAACTGAGCCGCATGGGACAGGATTCTCTCGTCTTTCATCCCCCCCCTTCTCTTTCTCTCTCTCTCTCTCTCTCCTCCCCTCCATATGGACGTTTATTGTTTGCCTAACAAGAAATCTGGACCTGGGGGTGCCAAGGCTTCTCAAGCCATCCCAAGCAGGAAAGAAGGGGGAAGCCTTCTTTCTATAACAGCAGGGGAAGAAATTCTTTCCCAGAAGCACCCACCAGACTTTCCCATATGTTTCATTGGCCAGACTAGGTCACTGGCCCAACCCTAGACCAATGAGCTGGATATCTTCCATTTGCCCCCTAGATCCATATTCTGCTCTTCAACATGTAGCAGGTTAGGACTATCTGTAAGGACCCCATATTTCCTGACTGGTTTCAGCCAATGGGGAATCCCAGCAGGAGGTTGGAGGGAGAGAAGACAACAATGGGAGGAGGGGGACAATTCCCCTGACTTCCTCCATGGACTTGACCTCAGGTTGACTATGTACTTCGACCAAAGAGTATTGTCCCTCTTAAGCACCTCCCCCCCTTTCTGTCTTAAATCCCATCACCAGCTTCTTTTCAAAGGTGACTGAAATATGTCAGGTGAATTATTTCAAAAATAATATTTGATACTAAGTAAATTGCACCAAGGTTATCAAATTTTTTGCATCAGAGGAGAAGCTGATAGTCTGGCTGGTAAGGAAGGAATCTCAGGATAGGTGTGCTGGGTGATAAGAGTTTAAACTTTTCTATTAGTACCAACTAGAGAATTAGTCTAGCAATACATAGAAGAATAGTGTGATCCAGTGTAGAAATTTTATATCCCTGGTCAACTTGTCAGCTGCCACCTTTCATGCTTAATATTAACGTGCTGTCATTTTCTAAAGCTTTTAAAAATCATTTATGCTTCCTCAGTTCTGTAGTGCAGCATCATTAAATATCAGGCATAATGCCCCTAACAAATGGCACTTGGAAAAAATAGCAGGCATGTTTTGGTGACTCAGAGCTGATCAGGAATCTAATTGAAATTTCATGTCTCATATTTGTCAAGTTTTCTAATTTGGTACTACAAAGTTTTGGTTAAGGGGCTCTAAAGTATTTGGGAAATGAGATGGTAGAGGGTGCAATGGCCTGTCTTCAGATAGGAGAGGAGAGGGGACAGCCATGGGAAACCTTGAATAGGATCAAACCTTTATATGCAATTATCTGTCCCATCTCTGTCTCTAACAAACGGAATGACCTTGGGCTTCAGTTTCCTTATCTGTCAAATGCAGGAAATAACATATTTTTTAGCTCCTCCAATCTCATAGTATTGATGTAATGATCAAATGAGATAATGGCTGAAAAAGTACTTTGGAAAGACTATCAAAGTGAGATGATTTAAAATGGACACACATTAAGCAGTAAGTGCCTTGGGAGAGACACAAAGATAATATATCACCCAGTCACAGACCTGAAGAAGTTAAGAATGTAGTTGAGCAGATAAGACATGCACATGAAAAGCAAGTAATATAAAGCAGCAAAAAGGTGTCAAAAGAGCTGGTTAGATTATAAGTACTAGAGAAACTCTAAGAAAGTACAGAATTCTTTCTGCAGAAGTGGATGGGAAAGACTATGAAATAAATTTTATTTTAGCTGGACCTGAGAGAAAATTTGTATCATTTAGAATGGAGGAAACATCTTAGCAAGTGGAGGTAGAGACAAGGAATTCAAACTGCATTCTGGCTCCAAGAGGAGACTGGACCAGCTGAAGTGCTGGACTTTACAGGCCAGTTCTACATAAGACTAGAAAGTTGAGTGGGTAGATCATCCTGGTAGTTAAAACTGAAGCAAAACACTGAAAAAGGATCTTATAACCTGACACTATCTGGTGTTCATGAACAAGAAAGTATTGCAAGAGGCCCTAGAATTCATTCTCTTCCTTCCCATTCCTACTGCCCCTCCCCCTTGTTCTGTTTTTTTAAAAAGCAGCTTTACTGAGAGAGTTTAGCATACAATATTTAAAATGGGCAGTTCATTATGTTTTGACATAACTATACATCTGTGAAACCATCACCACAATCTAGCCACCATCGCTTAAGGTGGCATCCCCTAAGCGCCTAAGTGTTTACTTTGCCCCATTGTAATTCCTCTCTCTGGTGCTTCCCAACCACTGATCTGCTTTCTGTTACTATAGATTTGTTTGTATTTTCTAGAATTTTATATAAATGGAATCAAAGATGTACTCTTTTTTAGCTTCTTTCACAGCATAATTTTGAGATTCATATTATTGCTAGTATCAATAATTCATTTTTTTAAATATATCTATTGATTTCAGAGAGAGGAAGGGAGAGAGAGAGACAGAGGAATATCAATGATGGGAGAGTCATCATTGATCGGCTGCCTCCTGCACGCCTCCGACTGGGGATCGAGCCCGCAGCGAGGGTGTGTGCCCAGACCAGGGATCGAACCGTTATCTCCTGGATCCTAGGTCAATTAATGCTCAACCGCTGAGCCACCCCCGGCTGGGCAATAATTCTTTTTTTTAGTTCATGTCTTTTATTGCTGAGAATACAGAATCCTCTTTAAAAACCTTAATTTGTTTGGATTTATATTTAAGGAGGTGCTTCCTCCAAGACCCCAAGGTACCTATCTCAGTGCTTGGCATACAGAGGCACTTATTTGTTGAAAGAATGAATTTCTGACCACTCTCACAGTGCTAATATCTTATATAGTTTTGTTTTGTGGAATGCTTGGCCTTTATAGGCCTGTTCTTCATCAGTGTTGTTCCTCTCACCTTCTGCTATGTCATATGCAAAATACAATCACTAATCACTCACTTCTTAAATGTTCTTTAATGATAAAAGTCAAGAACATGCTCAGGTATTCCTGAGCTAGACTCTAGTGGGAGGGTGGGGTTAAGTAAATTAGGCAAAACTGCTGCCCACAATCTAGTTCTTCTATCTTCTTCTTTTTTAAAAATATATCTTTATTGATTTCAGAGAGGGAGAGAGATAGAAACATCAATGATGAGAGAGTCATCATTGATCAGCCTCCCGACTGGGGATCAAGCCCACAACCCCGGCATGTGCCCTGACTGGGGAACTGAACTGTGATCTTCTCTATCCTAGGTCGATGCTCAACTGCTGAGCCACACCTGGCCAGGCCAGCTCTACCTTCTTGAAGACATTGCTATTGATAAAGTATTTAAAAACTATTCATGCATGTTTTTAACTTGAAATATGTAAATGGGAATCTGAGAAAAAGTCTACTTATCCTTTCAGACTTGGACATTCCTTTGCTGCATTGTTTAGAATTACAGAGAAGAATGGAAACTTGCTGTGATATTGCTGGGACTCTGCCTCCCACATTCTAGCCAAGAAACAAAATGATGCTCCAAAGATAAAGATTTCAGGTGAGTATTTAGTATTCTACTTAACAAACTAATGGAAATTTTTGAATATGTCTCACACTGAAAATGTGGGCTTAAATAACCAGTTTCAAAGGTGGGATGTTAAAATAGCCATTGGAACTCGAAACCACACTTTAACCACACTAAAAAAACAAACAAACCAACCAACCAAAAAACTTTACCACTTTGAAACTATCTGAAGACATGTAGCAGGAATATATTATGGTATTTTGGACCCAGAAACTAGTTTCAGGAAATAAAAATTTTACGGGCAGTCGAGAGATTTTAGAATTATTTTCAAGGATGTTCACTGGGAAATGAAGGTATTCAGAGCCACAACTATTGATGATTAAGCTCAAAAATTTCATGCCCATTGTAAGTACATGATTTAAGGAGAAAACAACTGGGTAAGAAATATGTAATCAACCTATGACATCAAATGAAAATTTTAGAACAAATGTTCATAATGTGCCATTTTTGCAATTGCTTAACCCCCTTCTAAGGGATTTCAAACCCAGCCTCTTGTGGCTTCAAGGGTTGCCTGTCTGTTCATGGAAACTTTTGTTGTACAATCTGGAATAAGCCTGATTTTACTTTAAGACATTATTGTGAACTAGAATATAAACAAGGTTCAACAGGGAATTTTAGATCTCAAAGAAAAGCTGAGAAATTTGGCTCCAAAAATGGGACAGATTGAAACAATTTTTACCAAAGGAATATGAGACAGTAAAGGAAATTGATTCAGAAGAAGACAACTAGTATCATTTTGAAAAGCTAGATATGAAGCAAAAGGTATGCGGTTGTTCTTGTTTTAACGATTGAGTGTGCTACCGTAATGCTAAAACATGTGCCAGGCTGATAAAAGTATTTCTATGGATTTTAAACTGATGGTAACACTGTCTTATACTGAGTTGCATGTGAAAGAGATTTTCTCCTTTAAAAATTGTATCAGGCCCAGCCAGCCGGGTTGCAGCAGTTGAGCATCGACCTGATCCAGGAGATCTCGGTTCAATTCTGGTCAGGGCACATGCTCTGGGTTGCAGGCTCCATCCCTAGTAGGGGGCGTGCAGGAGGCTTTCTCATTGATGTTTCTATAAACTCTCTCCTTTTTCCGTCTCCCTTCCTCTCTTTCTAAAAATCAATAAAAACATATTAAAAAACAAACACCCAGGCACAGGTAATTCTGAAATGGATGCTTTTCTTGGTCAGTTAATTTATTGGTACCTTCAAATGATTAATAATGAGAGGCTGTATGGATGGGGAGGCCATTAAGTTCATCCAAACCAAGGGTTCCTTACTCAGATGTCTGCGGGAATCAGGCAAGTAAGCAATTTGTGAAGCATACAGAAGAAAGAATGGTAGGGACTGTGATAAACTAAGGAGAGAATAAAGGAGCAGCCATCACCCTGTTCCAACAAATTGCTGCCATGTGGGAATGGAAATCCAGGGACAACAGATCTGATTACTCAAAAAACCTTAGAAATCCAGCTTTTCATATAAAATATCCAGATTTTTATGTGAAATATCTTGAATTATCAATGTTGGCAACCAGTTATTTTATTTGTAATAACTTATTACAGAGGCAGTACACATGTATTGTATAAAAATAGAAAATGTAGGCTAACAACAATAAAACATTTTCACCAGAGATCACCTTAGTACATATCCTTTCAGATCTTTTTTTCATAAATATATAGACATTTAAAAAAAAAATGATTACCCTGTATATATGGTTTTGGAACCGGCACTTTGTTAATGATTTTGACTTTTCCATCTTAGTAAATTTGCACCTCATTTAATCCAGTCTATATTAATAATTTTCCAATTGTCCTGTTATCTTTTATAGCAACTTGTTTAAACCAATAGGGAATTCAGCACCATGCATTATGTTATCATATACCTTAAGTATTTCTAATCTAGTAGTTTTGACTTCAAAAAAAAAAAAAAATCATAGACTTGCTGAAGAGAGCTGGCCAGGTGCCCTGCAGAATGCCTCACCTTTTAGATTTGTCTAGTTTCTTTCTCCTAGTGTCCTTTAGTTTGTTTCTCTATCCCCAGTATTTCCTGTGAACTGTAAGTTACATCTAATAATCAATTCTTTTGGGGGATGGGGAATAGCTAGAATATAAACTAGGCTGAGTTATGTATTTGCCTCACACCTGAATTGGTCTATTGGTTAGTGATATTAAGACCCATTCCAGAAAACAAGTGCTGACAGTCTGATCCCTCCAACATACATTTATGGCCTCAAGACTATAAACTGATAGTATTACTTGGCACTATATGAATGTCCACCAACTGTTTCACCTATGGTTTTAACATCAATTAATAATCTTTGCCAGATCAATACTTTTATTAAGTTCACAATATGGTGTTTTTCAAATTCTATCACTTTCTATATTTATTAGCTGTTTTTCCCCCAACTAGGATTCAAATTAGTTTTATAAAAAATAACTGCCAGTGGGCCAAACTCAATGAATTTGGGGGCAGGATTTAGCTTATGGGCTCCACTTTCTGGTTTACAATCTAAGCCAGATAAAATCTCACCTGTCTTATGTACCCTGCAGCATTAGGTCTTTTGTTTGTAACACTCAAGCACTTTGCACTTGTCAACATGCTGCTTGTAATCTTCTCAAGGCATTTTATGTATTTCTCTCTCTGGCTAGACTGCTACCTCCTCAAAGGTAGGGACTCTCCTGCAATGTATTTCCTTTGCTTCTCTTAATGTGCTTTTTTTTTTTTAAATTGATTTTTATAGGGAGAGAGGAAGGGAGGGAGACAGACAGATAGACATTGATTTGTTGTTCTACTTATTTATGCATTCATTGGTTGATTCTTGTATATGCCCTGGTCAGGGATGGAACTCTGCTTGGTATATTGAGACAACGCTCTAACTAACTCAGCTACCTGGCCAGGGCCTTTCCTAATGTGCTTTTAAAGTTACTTTGGCTACCACTAATTCTAATTAACAACAAAAGCACTAATATGAACCAAATCTTTCTTGTGTTCCCTGGCTTTCCCACTAAAACTTCCCCAAATATCTATCATAATGAAGTACTTACCACATTTACAGTTTACCTGTGCTGTGGAAATGAATACCTAAGATGGGGTGGGAAGGAAGGGGGAAAATAAGCTCTTTGTTGGTCTTCAAAAGTTAGAAGTCATTTTCTAGATGTGACATTGGGTAAGTCTCGTCATCATTCAGTTTCTGTTTCTTCATTCAATAAAATGGACTGGAATATCTCTAAAATCACACCCTGCTTGGTTCTAAGTCTCTAGGATACAGGTATATGCAGTACCTTTTTGTGTATTTCTCCTAACCCATTTCTCACTGCTTGGATAGTACCTTGGCTCCCTTCACAGTCAGCAGTATCCTTTCTAAACTTAGGTGAAATAATAGCCACAGTGGACAGAATTTTGATCTGATGACTCTCCTACCATCACAGACTGGTCTAATCTACACATCCCAGGAAGTTTGCTCATATTTCCAAGGTCAAACCCTAGTCTTATACAACTAGAGTCAAATGTGGATATTCCAAGGGCCCTATACAAGCAACTGTCACAGCAGAGGCGCAGTCTTAGGTCTTGCTGCAAGGGAGGAGAGGGTGGAGAGGGCTGACTGGTTGTACTCTTGTCCTTGTTATGAAACCTCACCATTAGGGCTCTGAATGACCCCAGGCCAGCTCTGAGATATGGGTCTTTCTAAAAAACAAAATGAAATAAAAATGCTTTAGCTCACTTGCTTTTCCCAATCCTTTTATTTCAGGTCTAATAGTCTCCTTCCCCTTTTTATTCCCTTCTGTACAGGTACAATCTCAAGGACCTTGCCAACTGGCTTTATGTGCCTGGAATTAGCTTTCTCTAGAAATGTTAGACAGAAAAAGACAAATACCATGATTTCACTTATATGTGGAATCTAAATAACAAAATGGAAACAAACTGTCCTCTTCCTTGGCTGAGGACAGTCTCCAGGCTACTTATAAATGGAATCTTACCATTTCCTGGTCTTGAGAGCACCAGGTGGTGAAGGGGGAAAACAGATCTCTAAGGAGTAAGGCAGAGAGAGAACCACCACCAGCCTTATTCTTGATAAACCACATTCAGGCCTGTAACACACACAGCTAGCCAGAGCTAATACCCAAAGCCTTCTGTGAAAACTTGACCCCTGTCCTGTGACTAACCTAGAGAGACACAAAATGGATGCATAATTCTTCTATTTTCTCCCTTACTCCATCTCAGGCCTAGTGGCTTCCCTGGGCATGTCCTCATCAGATATTAAAATTGTTTTTTCCTCAGGAAAGAGTAGCAACAGTGGCAAGAACAGTCTTAGTGAGCACAGTCCTAGAAAAGAATCAGCCAGTCAGCAACAAAATCAGAGTAAGAAACAAAGGATCAGAATGACAGAGTAGACAAGACCCTCAAAAGTAAAGACAGAACTGAAGGGATGGGTATAAAGCTACACATGGTTCTCTGGATTTCCCAGGCCTGGGGCACCCTGCTGTGAGAAAGTTTTCCCAGCCACAGTCTTTGTATTCACTTATAATAGTTCAGAATCCCGGTTTTAGAACATGCAATCTAGTATCAGAACATTTATCCCTCCAAAAAGTGCATTTCCCCCCCTCTGGTAGTTGGTAGTATGAATCTGAACTCTCTCACTCACATTCTCACTGAGGCCTCTTCTGTGCATTTCCCAGGTTGGCTGGCAGTCATCTTGGAGTAACCCCTAAATACAGAACCTCTGTTCTCAGGAGTAATCATTTCCATTATGAAATTGTAAGTGACAGGGAATGAAGACTAAGGATCCAAGATTATCAGATTAATTTGCCTAAAACCAATTTACCTAGAGGCAATCAGTCTAAAATAAATATTTATCAAATCTGCAGCATTTTCAAAAGGATTTAGCGTTCACCCTTTCACCTTTTATTGAGGTTGTCTGTATAACTTTGAATTGTTAGTCAACTGAATATGCCACATGCCTATTCATTTGCTTAGAATATATTGGCATTTTAACAGCATGGATGTAGAAGTTAGACCAAAGCATATCATATTGAGCTTCGTTACATTTTCCAAGGCATCTAATTTGTAAAGGAATATTGGATTAAGAAACAAAAAAATGATACACCAAAACGTCTGTACCAATTACATTTATTGCTAGAAACTTCAAGCTTTTTAAAAAAGTGTTTTAAAAGTAGATAACATAAAAAGAGATACCCATAAAGGTAGGAGGAAGCAGTCTCATCATTTACAAAGTGCTGCAAATTTGATAAATTTATGTTGCTGATAACTCAGAAGTATTCTTAGATGAATAGATATAAATCCTTGAAATACCCAAAGCATGACAAAAAAGAATAGAACACCTAAATGGCTAAAAAAACCCCCCAAAAAACCCAAAAGGGATTTGAGCTTTTGGCAGTGGTACGAACTTTAAACACACAGGTTTTCGGTGAATTGGTTTTAAAAGACCTAGCTTTAGGTGAACAGATTTCAGCAAAACTAACTAGAACCAAGTCAAAATGTTTTGTAACTCTGGCTCCCCAGAACCTCAGAGTTTGGGGTTTCAGTAGATGTAATCCTGGATCCCTCTGAAAGGTGGCAGCTCCGGAGTAGTGAGCTACTATTAGGGAACCAAGTGTAAGAGTGACCTGAGAAGAAGGGAGTGAGTAGGTGTGTGTGAGAATATGCCCATGGGTGCATATACTGAGCAGGAGGGCTCTGTGCACTTACACCTGGGGAGTATGAATAGCCTGAAGCTTCCTAAACGTCTCCCCAAGCAATTTCATACCCAGAGACCCACTTATTACCTCTTCCCCCAGCTGAGGAAAAGAGAAACAAAGTACAGGCACCCAGTTAGTCTTCCCAGGCCCATGTGAGTCCCTGAGAAACAGGCAATATAGGCAGCAGGCCCACCTGGAGCGGGTCTCCATTCCCAGCAGAGAGGTGAGCAGCTCTCTTAGTCCTTAGAAAGAAGATGGCCAAGAAATACCTCACTAATAAGGTCAACCTCTTCATCTAGACACAGAAACAAGATACAGTGGTGTGGTAAGAACCTGGCTGACCCCATATCTGGGGTACAAAACAATCAGGAGCTTCCACAATGTCTTTCTTCTCTTCCTATAATCCAGAACCAGAACATTGCTTGATTTATGCAGACATATACTGGAGATATAGACTAGAATCCAACCTTTAGAGTGTATTGGAACCTGCCTGTGTGTGCTTAAGTATATGCTATAGCACAGGTTACACATGCGGAAAAAAGGCCAGTCACCCCCGCTATGGTAACTGGAAGGTTCCTCCTCCACAATCCATTTGGAATGTCATGATCTTTGGGTCTCTGGCCCTTGGGGCCCTCCCCAAAGGACTCTTTTGCCATGCCTGTGAAGTACATCCTTTGCCTCAGCTGGTTTCGGGGGGCCCACTGGCCAGAGGAATTTATCAATGGTGGTGATGGCAACAGCAGTGACTGCAGCTCAGATATAGTTGGCAGGGGGCTGTCGAGCGTTGAGCCGTTGCATATGACAACTGTGGCAGAGCAAGTGCCCATCCAGAGGGAAGCAGCAGCAGCCTTCTTCATCACTTAGCTGCATCCGGCAGTCCTAGGGAAAAGGGACACCTAGTTTACCTCAGCCCAGGCACCTTGGACATCTTAGGACCAGATTTCTAATGACTAGAAGAAAACAGGGTGGGTTGAAAGGGATGGACTCCCAAAAGAGAAACCTGAGAAAATACCTCAGCTGGACACCAGGTGTCGCTGGTACAGAAGAATGAGAGGCTCCCATTTCCAATGGATACTTGGAGGCCCTACTCAGAAAGGACTAAACAACTAGGACCAGAGAGTTGCTGGAGGATGAGAACGAGATTGGAGATACATCAGAGCACTTTCCTAGTGTTCCATGCTCTACACTTTCCTATAGTCAAGTTCTAGTACTTGACTATTCCCCCGGACCCATTCCAATTCTCCAGGAGCCCTGGCCCCCAACACTCACCTCACAGTGGTAACACTCAAAGTGATAATCTCGGTCCATGGATATCACCCTCACAATGTCCTCACAGCCCTGAAATAATGCAGACACCCATGGGGATGAGAGCAGTATGACAATCCCAACTCCACTCTCCCCTGTACAGGCCCCTCCCACCCCAATGGGAAAATCATGCAAAGGCCTCCCCAGAGCCTCTCTGCAATCATCTGTAGCTTTCAGATGGGCTTTGCAAATCCTATTGGAACTTCCTCCTCCCTTTCCTTGGCTCCAGGGGGTTGGCCTTACCTACCTTTACCAGCTGTAGGGGAAGCAGAGGGAAGGGAAAGGGGCAGGCAGTGCAAATAAAGTAGGTTAAGCTGGGGACAAGGAGGTCCAATAGGGTCTGGTTCCTAATTGGCTTTGGCTAGGCACCTCAACACACAGAGCATAAATCATTTCTAACCTCTTCCTACTAGCCCTGGGGGTTTTTCCCACCTTTTTCTAGCCCCTACATCTGGGATCTGGTGACCTTGACCTCAAAGGAAGTCTCCCCCTCTGAACTGGGAGAGAAGAAACAAACTCTGGGCCCAGTAAGGCTGTCAGACATGTCCAGGCCCGGATGTTAGGGTCAGGGTGGTAACCCTGAGAGCAGAGTCACACGGGAATCTTCACAGAGTACATTCCTCACCACCAAAGCATCCTGTGGGAATTCAGGCAGCATGTCCCATCCCTTCCCCAGAGGCAGCAGCACTGGCTGCCCTGCAGGAGAACCCAGGCATACTGACCTCTGAGGGGAGGATGGGTTGGCCACAAGCTGCACATTTAGGAGCATAATTTCTGAAAGAGAGAGGGCAGAGATGAGCTGAGATTCAGAAATCCCTGAGCCCAGTTCCACACCATACCCCAAGGGGTGGACTCACTTGTGGTAATCGGTGACACAGTACACCTGGTTGGAGAAGTCTACTGTGAAGGGGATGCCATCCAGGCACTTGTTGCACACGATGCATCGGAAGCAACCTGGATGATAGGACTTTCCCATTGCCTGTAGGATCTGGCTCATGGAGTGGGAGGAGAATCAGTCTCCTTCCAGTTCCAGCTCTCCAGCTACCCATGATGTTCCCTGCTTCTCCCACAAAACTCACTCACCCCCTGCTATCCTTCCAGAACAATGCTATGGAATGTGAGGGGACCAAGATGTCTTAAAGTGGAAGCAGAGCGCTGGCCGATGTGGCTCAGTTGGCTGAGTGTTGTCCCACACAGGAAACGTTGCCTGTTCAGTTCCCATTCGGGGTACATGCCTGAGTTGTGGGCTCAATCCCTGGTGGGGGGCTTGCAAGAGGCAGCAGATCAATGTTTCTCCCTCCTCCTCTCCCTTCCTCTCTCTCTAAAAATCAATTTTTAAAAAAAGTAGGAGCAGAAACCCTGAAAAAGGTTTTAGAGAGCACCCAGGCTAGTGGTTCCCAGCCCTGGCTGCATAAGGATCATCCAGGGAGCTTTTATTTTTATTTTTTAAATCCTCACCTGAGGACATGCTTTTATTCATTTCAGAAAGAGAGAAGAGGAGAGGGAGAGAGAAAAACATTGATTGTCCAACTGGGGATTGAACCTGCAACCCAGGTATGTGCCCTGACCAGGAATCAAACCCATGACATTTCAGTATACATTATGATGCTCCAACCAACTGAGCCACACCTGCCAAGGCCATCCAGGGAGCTTTTAAAGACCATCAAAGCCTGGATCCCACCCCAGAAGTATTACTCAGGCGTATTCGTCACAGAGTCTGGTGATGACCCAGACACTGGCATTTTTCTTTACTTTTCAGGTGATCTGCTAGGCCGCCAGGGCTGAGAATTACTGATCTAATCCAATCCCTCTTTCTTAGAGAAAAAAAAAACCCACTGAGTTCCAACTGATCCTAGCCAGTAGCAGAAAGGGAGTTAAGACCCAGAACCCCATACTCCTAGCTCAGATGGAGGCTCAGGCTGTGCCTGCAGAATTAAGGAGGGGCCAGATTACACAGGTCTAGGGCTGGCAGGATTAGGTGTCCAGACTTGATCTCAGAGGCAGAGAGAAGCCACTCTAAACAGCTGCTCTGGGAAAGAACAGATGAAAGTGACTCATCTGATAATAGGTGTCCCCCCCTACCTTTTCTTAGTACTCATTTAGCCCGATTCCACCCCTCAGCCTCGTAAAGTCTCCGCTGAAAACATTTTGCTTACCTTTTCCAAAATCAAGTGACCACAAACACAGCATTTCTCAGCTGCCTCCTGAAACCCTGAAAACTAGAGACCAAGGGAAGATGTTATAAGCTGAGAATGACCTGATGGATGGAACCCCAATGGACCACCAAGAAAGGGGTCCCACTGTGGTAGCCAATTCTAAGCCCAGGGAATCCCTCTCACTCACCAGATAATCTTCCTCACAGTACACAGAGCCATTGACGCTGTAGAAAGCCTTGCAGCGCAAAGTTCGCCCTAGAAGCAACAGAGAAGGGGCTGGAGCCTATCCTGGTGTCCAGGAACAGGGCTTCCCCACTTACTGCTCTCCAGTGTTGTGTGATATATTTAAATATGGACTTCAGTGCTTATCCTCCTCCCTCCCCACACAAAAATCCCATCTGATACAATCCAATTGGCTTTAGTCTCATTCCTGCCAATCTCCCCTCTTGTCTGCTCACTACTCCTCCAGCTCCTGTCTCCTTAACAGTTTTCTATGACCCTGTCTTAAACAAGTGCCTTCTTCCCAGTGCCTGCTGCATGGGGAGCCACCTGGGAAAGCAAAGCCAACCACAGGCTAGAGTACTTGGTTAAAGGAGCTCTGAAAAAGGTGGTATACAATGTGCATAGAGTGATCACATTGTCACAGGCCTTGCCCTCTTTGCCTGAACATAGCTATCCTACTTTTCTAGCTTTGTGTGTCTCCCTCTAGGGACAGGCTCTACGGAGGTCAGGACTTATTGCAGTTACTGCTGAGGACAAAGTGCTTTGTTTGGGAACAAAGTTGGTCCCCTTTCCTGCTGCACTCAGTTGCTTCCCCAAGCTTAGAGGGACCCAGAGGCAGAGGCAGTCCAGGCTCAGAGGCAGCTCAGGATGTTCTATGAGCAGACAAGGCAGGGCCATTTCCCCTGTAACTAACACCTAGGAACTCCTCCAGAGCATCTTAATGGTCAGGAATGGGGGAGGAATGAGACCAGAGTGGAGAATGGGCATTTTTCCCACCTCTGCCCTCTTCTCATCAAAATCTCCACTTGTGGCTCTGCCCAGTGGTTTAGAAAAGCTGACCTGGAAACTCATAGACATGGGAGTAGAGCGGGAAAAAGACATACCTGGAAAAGACCCTATAAACAGAAGGACGGACAGATAGATGAACCTAAAGAAAACCAGGCAGAGGCTGGGGGTTGGAGGATGAGAGAAAAGCTGAGTGCTGGAGTCAGACAGGCAGAGATAGGAGATTAAAGGTTTAGCAAAAGAATCAGTGGGTAAGCAGTGGGGAGGAGGTAATGAGGGACGTGAGGGAAGGGCTGGGGAGTTAAGGCCGCTGGGAGCAGCCCCCACTCCCCTGAGCTAACAGCGGGCATTCCTGGAGCGTGATGTCATCAGCTTGGCATGGTCCGGTGGCCTGCACTCTAGCGAGGTGGCTGAACTCTGACCAGCCAAGAGAAAACCCCCCTCTCTGCCCCCCACGGTTCCCCACTCCCTCAGCCCACCCCCACCCTTCCTACATTCCAGTCTTTCACTGTCGCCCTAGGCAACTCTGCTGCCCAAGACCAAACCCCACAGAGAAGAAGCTGTAGGTCCAGGCAGGAGTCTAGGCTGGGCAAGCTGGGAGACAGAAGAGGAAGGAACAGAGGAGAGGAAAGACGCTGAACAGAAGAAAGACTGACTGGGGAAAGCAAACCCAACATGGGGGTGAATGCAGATCCAACATGGGGGTGGGAGAGCCAGGTGGAGCACAGAAAAGGGAAGCAAGAGAAGGTGGGGCAGCAGTGAAGGTCCAGACACATGGTGGGGACAGCTGCTCTGTGACTAAACGAAGAGGCACAAGTTCTGCTCCTGTTTCCCTAGGCACTCATGATTGTGTACATGTGTGGGGAGTGCTTGAGGCCTCAAGCCCTGGTCCAGGTCTGGGGGCAGCACTCACCACAGGAGCAGCAGACAAAGCACTGGGTGTGGTAGAGGCTGTCCAGGGCCTGGCAGGCGTTGCTTTGCCCATAGATGCCTTTGTTGCACTTGATACAGGTGCCTGAGGGGAGAGATGTTGTCAGCATCACATCCTACTCCCCCTGCTCAAAACCTGGGATTCCCGGTCTTTCCTGATTGTGCCAGAGTATCACAAGTCAGAGCCTCCCTTTGATGGGCTCCCTTCTGGGAAGAGGATAATGAGAAATGGAACGAAGCAAGGTCTTGGCTGAGCAGATCCATTCTTATTTATTAATCAACATATATTTTATGAGCATCTATTTTGTGCCTAGCAAAAATATTGTGCTCAATACTGTGGAAAACTGGAGGAAAGTCAACGATATGGTCCCTGGCCTTCAAATGCTTACTTCCTACTGGGGAGAAAAGACTAAGCAGGCAAAGTATGATCCCTGTTGTACTGTGTGGGACAAATAATCAGAGATGCCAGTCCATATGGGCCCAGTACCAGACTCAAAAACACTCCCTAGAGAAGGCCAGGCCCAGAAAGCCTCTCTGGGACCTGTTTCTCCATCTGTAAAATGAGCTTGTATTCAGCTGGGGTGGGGAACCCTTTTTCTGCCAAGGGCCATTTGGATATTTATATCATCATTTGCAGGCAATACAAAATTGTCAACTTAAAAATTAGCTATGACAGCCTGGCCAGCATGGCTCAGTGGTTGAGCAACGACCTATTACAATCCAGGACATCCTGGTTCGATTCCCGGTCAGGGCACATGCCCAGGTTGTGGCTCTATCCCCTGGTGAGGGATATGCAGAAGACAGCCAATCAGTGATTCTCATCATTGATGTTTCTATCTCTCTCCCTTCCTCTTGCTGAAATCAATAAAAAATATTTTTAAAAATTAGCTATGAATAAAGCTCCTAGATTTATTGAATTTCAAGTCCCACCTGCGGTTGCCTTGACAGGGCCAGACCAAAGGATTTCGCTGGCCATATGCAGCCTGCAGCCCGTGGTCCTTGGCCCAGATGTTCCCCACCCCTGTGCTACAGAATGACTTCTCACTGCTCTGTACCTCCAGGCTTCCAAGGATAGAAAAAGAAGGATCTGGCACAGCAGTGGGACCTATGCAGAGGGGACCATGTGAGCATGACTCCTGTAGGGAGGTGGCTGCTAAGAATGTAGGGTGTGTTCCCAGAAGGGTTGCATAGGAAGAGGGGGAAGGGTGGTAGAACCCCTAATGTCTCCCTGTCATCTTCTATCACGGGAGGGACAGAGCTGAACGGCTCCCCCCGCCCCCAACACCCCTAAAATACATACACCTGGCTCTGGCACCCACCTTTCCTGGGTGTGTTCTTTCCTCCCTCCACTCCCCAATTCCAGGCCCATGAGTGAGGGTGAGGGCCTGTCTTTAGGGAGCAGATCCCAACGGGCCGGCCTCACCCCGCCCCACCTCTCCCCCTCGGCACACTGCCACACTCCTTGCCTGTTGGGGCCCATCCCAGTCTTTGCCCAGAGGCTTGGGAGCCCGTGCAGCAGCTGCAGCAACTGATGGGCCCAGGCCTGTCCTGCTCCCACTCTCTGGCAGCTGGGCAAATCTGTAGCCAAGGAAGAGGGCCCCTACTAAGGGCAGGAGTATGAGGGTACAGTTAGGCTGGGGGTTCTGTCAGAGGAGGCAACCTGACCCACAGGGAGAAGAGGCCCCTACCTCTGGGGTCGAAATGTGGCCTCCCCATGGGAGTGAAGATCTGCCCCAAGATTGCCATACCCGGGGGGCCCAGTCATAGCCATTTCTTTGGGAAGCCTTGGACGTTATGGGAAGACAACAGCAAACTGCTCAGGCTTGTCTACCTCACCTCCTCTAACCCAGATATCCACACCTAGATTCTTCCTGCCATTTTATTGTACTCTGAGTTCATTTTTCCTTTTGGCTCTGATGGTTTAGCCAAAGAGACTTCTTTCCACCCAACAGCCATTTCTCCTGGGCCTCAAAAGAAAACTTCAAGAAGGATCCTGTTACTTAGTGTCCCTTGACGAAAGCTTCTGCTCTGGGCTTCCTCTCTAAGGGTAGAGGGAAAAGGATATTGGGTAGAACCAGGCAGGCCCCTTCCAGTCTGCAGCCCTGCTACCTCTGTACCTCCTCTCCAACCTTCCCTCCCTGGCTGGGGTTGTCTCCCTATTTACATTTCTAGCCATAAAGGTCTAGAGCAGGAACAGGGATGATGAGAAAGGTGAGGAGAAGCTTGGAAAACTGAAGAGGCCCATAACCCTGGGGGTGAGCCCTCCACTTCTTCCTGTTCTTCCTATCACAATCAGATTAGTATTTATATAGTGAAGTGATGCCTGCAGGTCTTGGCTAAAATATATTTCAAAACCCCAATATCCCCCCATAAAATCAATCAATACTTCTTAAAGATAACCACTTGGGGGGGGGGGGGGG